AAATAATGACAAAATTTTCATCAAAAACTATTATCAAAAGTTCGTATTAAAAAAATCTTGTTCTGAAATGTTTACCTAAATTGATAATATTTTTTGATTTGAATTGTGAGTATTCTTCTAATAATGATGTCAATGGTTGATGACAAAAATCATTGTCTAACGGAATATGAATATTCATCGAAATTAAAAAAGCACCTATGGTAATTGTTGTTCCGATACTGCATAATTCTATTGCATTGTATAATATTTTCTCTTCAATTTCTTTTTCAGCTTGATCATGTGTCAATAATATTTCATAGAGATTTTCCTATAACAATAATATTTCTTATTTTTTACGCGAGTTTAAGATGTTGACAATTCGAAATTTGACCAACATCTTTTTCGGTGGTTTGTGTCATGACTGGATAGAGCTCATCGATTTGAAAAATAGAAATGCTATTGCTGACATATTCAGATGATGTTTTTCTAGTGAAACTTAGGAAAGTTAGTTTTTCAAAAAAATGAGAAAAGCATATAATCTTGGTAGCCTAAATGTTTATTTGATTTGTTTTCTGATTTCACTCGTCATATCGTTAGGAAAAATCTAGCCATGTTGTTGAAAAATATTGTTGGTTGTTGAAAAAATCGATTTTTTCGATATGAGAGCAAAGCCCATAAAAACGCGTTTTGTATTCTAAGATTTTGACGATGAGAATTGCAGTGCAGAAAAAAAAGATATCATATTCAGAATCCACGCGAAAATATATACCACTATATGACGAGTAAAATCAAAAAGGCAATTTGAATTAATATTGATGTTACCAAGAATTGATGCTGTTAGCGTATTTCAAGTTTCAATGGCTGTTCTCATTTTTTCAAACCTATTTTTCCTGCAGATATATTGTCTGAATGTCTTAACAATAACACTTCTACAGATAACACAACGAGCTCTATTCAATCATAACAAAAAATGCGAGAAAAATGTTATTCAAATCTTGAGTTTCTGGCGTCTAACTCATTCTTTGCTAGCATACTTACTCCTCGTTTATATATATCTATAAATGAAAATATTGTTCCCATCGATATTAATATTTCCTTTTCATCTTTAATATGACTATATTCTTGAATATATGCAAATGGTTTTAAACGACTATTTTTGGTTAGTATTGAAATTTTAAAAATAACTGCTATTTCATCCTGTAATGATTCATTTGGATGAATTTTACTATCAGCAAATGCAACGGCTATATTATAAGCACCTGTTGTTGAAAGATATTGTGTTGTTAAAATAGTTTTTCCATGAAACTGAACTAATTTTTGAAATTCTTTCAATGAAAATCTTTGACCACGGTAGACAGTAATAAATTTTGGTATCCAAAAAAGACTGTCTATATAAAGTCGTGTTAATTGTTCATGAAGATGTTTAAGATAATATCGAATTTTCGATATTAATAAAGGATCTTGTGCTCGACAAGTACTATTTATAATTTTTGATGAAAAACCAGATGATCGACTATAGAATTGAATAGCCTGCTCTGGATAGCGTGAAAAATCCAATTCAGATATATATTGTAAGAGATCATTTTCTTGACAAAATCTAATAAATTCATCACATTCGGAATCTCGATTCGGTATGGCATATAAAATTTTCAGTGCTAGACAATAACGAAGAAAATTTGGCTCACCGTGTTCAATGATTCGAAATGGATTTTCAATGATTTCATTTCTTTGGCATTCGTTAGGAAATTGGAAAAAAGGATATTGCATCGATTGAATAGAAATATATTTTTTAAAATGTGCTAGCCTATATGTACATAATGAAATTGACAACTTCGACTCTTCCCTGATCATTAGTTGGAAATTTATTTTGTTGACATGACGTCAATTGAATGAAAAAATAAAATATGCAATGTAAAATTAACATGGGTTATATCCCATTGATGTGTATTGAGAATTAATTATCAAGAGAAAACTATTTGAATCCAATATTATTTCTTTTCGTTTATGTAAGATAAGAGAAATCGTTTTATACATGAAGCCTCATCGTGTAAATATTCTTCTAAGAAGAAACAAAATGTTGCATGGTTTTTTTATTTCATTTTTACAACAATACACAAAAAAAAATCAGTCAGCAAATCTTTTTCGTTTTGTTCTCTTTATTATAAATATTTACTATTGAATAAGTCTTTTTTAATTTCTTCTTAAATTTACCTAATTATTGAACACTCCACTTACTGAAATATTCATAAATATATGATCGTTAATGAATTAAAACAATTGTACTTCTATCTTTTATTTTGTTGGTAAAATCCAACGGTTAACAGTGCAAGAAAAAAATTATTCATAATATCAATATTACGATTCAGACATGCGTCGACATGGTAAAATTTAAACAGTCAAAATAATGTTTGTAATTATTCAACCTTGTCTTATGTTTACGACACGCGTTATTCTGTCATCCATTGCAAACTAAATAAAATAGAATATCCTATATCATCATTTATAAAATTTTCAAAGAATAATTACATTGAATTCACATATAAGTAACCGTTGATTGATTTAAAATATGAATAAAAGTAGGTGTGCCTTTCATACGCCTAAAGAAATTACGTTAAAATCAATCTTGATAGAAGATACTATGGTGGCTTGTGTTCAAAATATTTAACTGATCTTTGAATCTTGTTTCTGCCTTCGAGTATATGCAGTGGCGTACGATTTTTCATTCAAAAAAATCATATCAAAACTTTCACTGATGAATTTTATAACAATTATCATCAAATGACTACAACAACTATTTCGAATTGAAACATTGATTGATTGAAAACTTATTTATAAATAACTTTCGGTTTACAAATGTTCTACGGAATAGAGATACAATTAATTTTATGAAGAAATAACTGATTCATCGAATAATCTCGATTTTTATGACTCAAAATATAAGAAAATATTGTTATCAACATAAAACAACAAAGACTAGTATTCAAATTTTAAAGTTTCATATATATTTCAAAACAATTTTCACAATTATAATATCTTCCATAATGTTATCATTCAACTCTGAAAAAACATTATATTATTCATATAATAAACAGATAGATCGCCAACAACATACTTTTTCACTCACAAATAACTTACCAATTCTTCTTATCAAGCAAATCAAATACATTGGTAATAAAATAAAAATCAAGTGCATATGATTGTCTAAAATCGAATTAATCTATTTTCAATATTTTAAAAACATAAATTAAATATTACAAGGCGCTTCGGTTTTTTATTCTTAATTTCTTTTGTTTTTTTTTAAACTACAAAAAGAAAAAAAATGAAACAGTAAAAAATACTGAATACACACAGTAGCAATTATTTTCAAGTTTGAGGTCAACAAAAGTGAAGAAGAAGAAAAAAACAAAAGAAATTATTTTCACCGGTATATTTTCTTTTGTTTTTTGTTTTTTTAAATATTCTATCGTTGATATATCAATAATAAAATTTCTATTATCAAAATTAAATACGAATTCATTAAGAAATCTATAAAAGAAATTAATAAAGAAATTTTTTATACTTTTAATTTTTAATACCTGAATTTTGATTTGATTTTAATTCAACTGGAATATATTTTCTTATTGGATCTGTTTCACATATATAAATCCCAGCAATATTAGCTGGTTCATTTGTATGAAATAATAATGTTGATATAAATGAATGTTGAGTAAAATTTTTTATAATACGTGTATGTCGATTTGAATTTGTACTAATTCGTTTATTATTATGCCACCAATGAATATCATGATGACGTTGTTCTAATTGACTATCTGTTAATATACAATTTAAACGTATTGAATATTGGCCAATTTCATCAGCTGATATAAATACTTCTTTTGGATTAATTTCAAGACTTTCTAAAAAAAAACAAAACGAAAGTTTTGAAAATAAAATCGAACTTTCTTAGAATTGTTAAACTTACGTATGACACGTACTTGATAAGCCATTTGTATTGTTTTTGGTGAATGTGATTTACACATATAAAGACCTTCATCAGATTCATTAACTTTCGATAATGTAAATATTGTTGAATAAGCTATGGATGTATCATTGATTTGTTGTATTTTTTGTTGAATACTATAACGTGTTTCTGTTGGTGTTAATGATTGATCATTGAGAAATAATGGTCGCCAATGTGTTTTATGTGTACGATGATTAACATTAAAATCAGTTAAATTTTGATAAAGCCATTGAACAATCTTAAAATTAAAATAAAAAAATACGATATTTAAATGAAACATGTTTATTTTTTTGTTATTACAGTTTTATCACTGTCTTCATCTGGAAATGTACATGAAAGAGATAAATCAGAACCACGTTCAGCTGTTACACGCTTTGGTTGTATTCGCCTATCGGCTAAAATAAAATGTAAATTTATTTATTAATTTAAACAAAGAAATTCATTGAACTCGATGCAAATGAAAAACTATGAATTAAAATGACAATGTACAAAATAAGACTTTTCATAATTAATCAAGATCAATGTGATGACACAAGACTATTTTCTTTATTATTTCACATATTTCAATTTCACTACTTAATTATCACAAAATCTCTGTAGTATAAAAAGTTTCATGTAGCACTTTAATCCTGCCTATAATAACATTTTTTATATTATCTGTAGAAGAAGAAAGTTCTGAGTAAGGATTAGGAAACTTACATGTGTGAACTAAAAAACCATCATTCGAACCAACTGAGCTATTTGTGAAGATTGTAGAATAATGACTATCGATCCTGTTATGTTTAGAATAGATTTGCGAAGGAAATATTTAATTTATATTGAGATGTATTTAGATAAATCTTATAAAAGACATCATACTTTCATAATATACGATAATAGAAAAAAAAAGTATCTCAGAACTTTATAAAGTTTCTCATCATTACTTCTAAATAAAAACAAAAGAATTCAAGATCAGTTTATTTATAGCTTCGGGTGATATTTGAATTAGATAATTGAAATCTTTCTATTTACAGACAGATTATTCTTAATCAAACTAATTCATCTTGATAGACATTTTCTCGTCATCATTCGACCTTCTCCTTCTTTTTTTTTTTTGTAAAAATATAAATTATTCAATTGAATTTCATTCGCATGGTCTACTATTTTATTTTGCACCAAAATATATATTAATCGATATTCCTCTGGGAATAATTTTTGCATGATAGACTCCTTTTTCTTTTCTCTTCTTCTTCCTCCTTTTACTGTTAATCATAAATCAATTATCAACACTTACCATAGATAATATCAATCGTTAGAAATAATAAGCAAATGACAAATAACCGTCGATAATAAGTCATTTCTGATGATTTTTATATTTGTTATATTCGTTGATGAATAGATATATTCTGAAATAAAACAGATACAACCTTTGTTATTTTTTGGTTAATAATGAAATTTTTGACACCGATGTATCAACAACATCTGATACGTACATATGTATATATACATTCATTATCCAATATTTCAGATCATAATAATTTCTCTTAGACATCATATCGTTCGCAAAAAAAAAAAAACACTATCTTACATCATAATCTTGCGATCAATTTCTTTTTTTTTTTTGTTTGATTAAACGAACAACATTGAAATCACTAATTGAAGAGGGCGGTGAAATATGTGTATATGTAGTACACTAGAATCGTCTTCTCTCTTTCTCTGTCTTTTGTTCTATGACACGCACGCAATGGATACTATACAATAGTAATTAGAACAACATACATACACTACTGAGAAATATGTACAGATGAGGATAGCCAACTGCCTACCCCTCCGGAGAAGACGAACTTGCTCTCGCCTATTTACAAATTGATTAAAAATGAATGAAACTGAATTACTTCCCATGCATCATACAATAGTAGTGGTCAATAGTCGAATAGTGACCGTGGCGGCGACGATGAAGAGACATGCACACTCGAGAAACCCTAGTAGTACACACACACGACATATATCGCCTATGTCATGCAACTACGCGTGGACATTACTGTATGACTTAAAAATAACTAACAATCATTATCATCATCTTCATATTCAGGTCATATTTACATGGACTACTTTAATGTAGATACGTGCTAAAAAACTTCTACTTCTAAGTATTCTGTCTTATATACATGTATATACATATACATACAGAATAAACTTAAGTCGATTTATATATGTCAAAACTGAGGTCTTTCTTTCTTTTTTTTTTTTTCTAGAGGGGCAAAAAGAAAAGAAAATGTTACTTTACTTGTTCAAAATTTTTGTCCATGAACGTTTACTTTACATCTCAAGAATTGTGTCATATAAGAGTTAATAATGCTTTATTTGCATTTCATAACTAACTTGTATATATATACACACATACATGTATATTCTAATGAACAAAAAAAAAAAACTCAAATGATTGATAGAGTACGAATAATTGATTTCAATAAAGAAGCAGAAAAAAAAGCATAGATACCAATGACGTTTATGGAATCATGAAAAAACAAACGATTTTTTTTCCTATTCCATATTTCTAATCATTCTGTAGCATAGCATGTCCAAAAATTTGATTTTGTGACATAGAAGGGTACGCGCTCATCTTCTTTGTCATTGTTACTATGTGTTCATTCTTCTGTACAGTCAATGTGTTGTCGGAAACGTCAAAATGTTAGTTTTGTATATAGACATGCTCAGATGATTAACATTTTGACAATTTCTAATAGAATGGGCGACTAGCATCAGTGACCAATAAAAAAGTCGATTACTCGTCATTAGAGAAATGACATCATATGATCTTAGAATATCTCGAGGCAATAGAACAGTGTCGGTTCATGTGAAATAGAAATCTCAGTGTTTATATAAAAATGAGTACGCGTGGGTATTTCGTGAAAGGAAAAAAACTATATACATATATATGATTGAGCGTAGCATATATATATCGTTCATTACGTGGCTATACTCAACTATGCATGAACAAATAATAAGCACACAACAAAACCAAAGTTAGTTCATCGACAATCGATCTTAGTGCTACTCATCTAAGTTTGACCTTCTATTAAGAAAAACGCTCATTCATTGAAGTGCTAATTTCTTTCTCTCATTTTGTTTGCCGCACGCAAAACTCGATCAAGTGTATGCAACGGTTTCCTCTTCTTTTTTTGCTCTATGAATCGTCTATGCGCGCAAACTTTGTGTCATTAGACATTAATTCTGCTGTCACTATTACCGTATATGTATGTCGTTACAATTTCTTCCATTACTTCATTCACCTGTTATGACAGATCTTCATTCTCTTCGTCTCTGTTCATACACAACATTGAACAGTAGTAGTCGCTACTTCTCAAGTGGACGAAAGAGGAGGAGAAAGAAAGACATTGAACACTTTCTTTTCCCCCTCTCTCTCTCTCTCTCTCTTTCTTTCTTCTCCTATCTATGTATAGATCAAATATTTTCGAGTCCTTTTTTTTTTTTTTTTTTTTTTTTTTTATATACATTCTATCAAAATGAAACACAAAGAGGCAAAAGATAGCCGCCCGGACGTGCGCCTCCGTTCAATTGATAAAAGACGTGCGGACGAAGAAGTTTTTGTGTATGTATGTATATATACACTTGAAATAAATAAAAAGTGACACACTAAGGCAACGACAGACACATCCCGCTGTGTCTCGTGATCCGAAAAAGACGTTGTGCATGTGTGCCGTTCAACTAACGGAAGTTTTAAAAATTGGCTCCTTCCGATTCAGAGACGGAAAATTTTATGAATAGGCTCAATAAAGCTTTAACTAACAAAAGAGTGAGAGAGACAGAGACACACACCCATGCACATTTATATTGTATATATTCAATTAGATAAAGAAACTCTAACCTGTATATTATTATTGTGTGACAAACACTATAACTTAGATAAGTTCAAAAGAATAATCTAAATGAATGAATGGATAAATAGTCGGTGAGAAGAAAAAAATCAACGAACATTTTCGATGTTAATCGAATAAACGTGTGCTCGACAGTAATCGGTTTTTTGACCCTTTGATTGCATCATGTTTGATGTCCAAGCAATTGTTGTATTCGTAGTAGTAGAAGAAAAATATGATGATGATGATGATGATGATGATGAGGATGAGGACGACGACGACTAAGTATGATAATCTCTTGGCAATAATTGAATTTAGCTGTATGTATATATGTATATGTCGTCAGTACAGACCACACCCAGGGGCTCTTCTACACCCGAATAAATCACTCGACTTTGACCTATTCGCATCATCTTTAATGTGTATTGCTGCATATACATTGAATTAGTCTCCTTTTCTTTCTTATATTTCTAGTGTCAAGGATTCAACGAATATAGTGCTACATACTTGAACGTATGTAAGAGAGTCCCGAGAGCATCAATCATCATCTTTATGACATATGAGAATCGCCGTTCCAATTGGATGACTTTTTCTTTTTTCTGCTTGTAAGAGTACTAGTAACTCAAATATTGTCGTCTCTCAATCCGGTAAGGTCAATAAGGATGATACAAGGAAAAAAGATGGCCATGATGTAAGAGCTCTTTGCGCTCATATGCGTCAGAAATTAGCATTTTCTCTTTCTTATTTCTTCTAATAGTTAAGCGGAAATTTGTCGCTTCTAGTGACGAACTTGATACTAGCTCAGTACATAGCATTTATCTATATATGTATATGTATATATATATATATATATACGTTTATTTATATTTATATTGGTGAAATCGATCTCTTTTTCTGTTCTATTCGCACGTCAATGAACACGTTGTATGATATCTTTTTTCTTGTATGTGAGTGTGTGCATGTATGTTTTATGTTTTGTCGATAATACATCAACACACAGACAGACACAGAGCTAAATTGTTAATGATCAAAGTGTGCATGTGAGTAGTGAATACAATAGAAGTTAGTCAAATGAAACACATATATACATGAAGATAGCCTTCCGCAAGACTGACTTCAGTTTAAAAGCGTCGGCGTCTAGTAAGCCTTAAGGCGTTTATTCAATAGAACTACTATTGCAGTCAATCAATCGAACGAACAAACGACAACAGATTGTGTTATGATGAGACGGCAATAATAATAACTTATAATACAATAGGTAGACTAAAGCGAAAAGAAATCACGAGAATCATGCTTGTTGACTGAAGGTCATTTGACGCGTGCCAATGAAACCTTATTTAAAATGTTTATTGTGTCTAGATGTTTATTATTCTCATATGTATAGTAGACAAAAAGAATAAGAATGACACTGATCTAAAGTAGTAGTAAGACATTGGATCTGATCCTCTCTGACGTTTCTTCATATACTCATTTATATGTCATCGAAATAACATATGGACCAACTTACCTGTGCTTGATGTTTAAAATTCAATTAGAAAAAGGAAGTATCAAGGGAAATGCGCCATCCTTTGAACATAACATCTATATGCGTATGACTACGTAACATGTACTCATCATTGAACCATTACCGAAGCAACACTTTTTTTATTCGATCGTGCATATTGCGATATTATTATCATCAAACGGAAAAAAAAGAAGAAACTGAACGAATGAATGATCGGTTGATCGACCGAGCCGATGAATGTGCACAAAAAGTATAAAGAGAAAAAAAAATATATATAAATAAGAAACAAAAAAAAAAAGAAAGAAGGAACCATCAACACAACAAGGCCACAAAGGAAAACTTCTTAATAGTGACGAGTATACATTCACGCAAATACACCACTCTAAATTCCGGAAATGTTATACAAAAAAAAAAAAAAAAAAGAAGAAACAGACAAGTGTTGATTTTTCTTTGTTCGAAAAAAAAAACGACATACTAAAAAAACGACGAAAAACAAAAAAAAAAACAAAAGAAAAATTCGACAACTGTTTGTTGTTTACACCAGAAATTTAAAAAAAACACACATACAAGGATACATTTTAAACATATCGTATTAAATAAGTATAAACAGCTGGTAATTCTGTTTGTCCATTTGTATTTAATTGTACATCATTTCGAGGATTTATTGTTGCAGCATATATTGTAAATGTATAAACACCTTGTTTAGGTAAATTTAATGCAAATATAACATTAAAACCACCATTTGGTTTAATGGTCACATAATCTGATGCATTTAAACGTTGATTTAAATTTGTTAATGATGTACGTGATGATAGATCAGATAATGTATGATGATATATAAGGTCAAATGAAAAATCAACCATTTTACATATTTGAAATAGTAATTCAATTGAATTTGTTGAATGTAATGTTATTGTTGGATCAATATGACTTATGGGAGCCATACCAAATTGTGAAAGTAAATTTGAATTTCCAC